CTGTGTAAGTCCTATCTTGAACCAGTGGCGGATCCAGCGGTTCCAGCGGGGGGCGTGGGTTCCGCCACTGACTGACACGCGTTTAACACCCAAAAACGTCTTCGGGCGCTCTGCAGCCATCGTGTCTACATACATACTCCAATAGTTAGCTCATAAAATACATTTGCATGTGTTGTTTGTATATTCTAAACGTTCTAACGCCTTTTCTATTTACTTTCCATTAAGCTAATAGCAACACTCAAAAGCTCGCGTAGATCGTTAGCAGGCTTAATGGATCGACCTTTAAGTTTTTTTCTGAAATAAGAGCTCAATCAATGTAATCAAATGCAGTGCAATTGGGAAGCGTTTTTGTGCACGCACCTTACTTAGTGATGGAACATGGAGCCAGCCAGCAAGGCATAAGAAATGAGAAATGCGAAAAATGCAAATTTAGAACTTTTATTGCACACAAAAATGCAGCGCAGCTGGAAGAAGCTAAAATTAACCGGAGGCATTTGCATTTGTTGCTTGCTGATCCAGCAGCACACCTTTATGTGATGTTTTTTTTCTTTTGTGTTTGTTGAATTTTTACGAAATTCTGTATTGCATTACAAAATTAATTTCTGCATCGATGCTCTTCAGCTTTCTCTCGGATATTCATACTTTCAATTCGCTTTTGACACAGCGTGAAGAATGAAGGACATCATTGGACAGATATTAACACCTACATACATGTAACTTATTATTCACGCACACAAGCAGGAAGTGTTGCATTAGTTTTTTTTTTCGATGTGCTTACCCTTTCATCAATGCATCAATCAATCCATTAATGTTATTGTCAATTTGAACGTTTCATCAATTTTTATTGCNCGCTTAATGGATCGACCTTTAAGTTTTCTGAAATAAGCGAAGAATAATGAGCTCGAATCAATGTAATCAAATGCAGTGCAATTGGGAAGCGTTTTTGTGCACGCACCTTACTTAGTGATGGAACATGGAGCCAGCCAGCAAGGCATAAGAAATGAGAAATGCGAAAAATGCAAATTTAGAACTTTTATTGCACACAAAAATGCAGCGCAGCTGGAAGAAGCTAAAATTAACCGGAGGCATTTGCATTTGTTGCTTGCTGATCCAGCAGCACACCTTTATGTGATGTTTTTTTTCTTTTGTGTTTGTTGAATTTTTACGAAATTCTGTATTGCATTACAAAATTAATTTCTGCATCGATGCTCTTCAGCTTTCTCTCGGATATTCATACTTTCAATTCGCTTTTGACACAGCGTGAAGAATGAAGGACATCATTGGACAGATATTAACACCTACATACATGTAACTTATTATTCACGCACACAAGCAGGAAGTGTTGCATTAGTTTTTTTTTTCGATGTGCTTACCCTTTCATCAATGCATCAATCAATCCATTAATGTCATTGTCAATTTGAACGTTTCATCAATTTTTATTGCAATGCAGCAATGCAAATGACAAACATATATACATACATACATACATTACATTACATACATATTATACCTACAGCAAATATCTTTCTAGTATCTTAAGTATGTGGAATTACTTAAGTAAGTTACTACTTNTATTGTCAATTTGAACGTTTCATCAATTTTTATTGCAATGCAGTAATGTATATACATACATACATACATATATTATACCTACAGCAAATATCTTTCTAGTATCTTAAGTATGTGGAATTACTTAAGTAAGTTACTACTTAGACGCGGTGGGTTGTCAGTGTTGAAGCCCACTTAATATCACGGTAAATATTTACAAGGTTTTTTATCTATTTTTTTTTTTAAGTTTTATTTTATTTTTTCTTTGCGCTCTGCTTTGCTTTGCTCGAGTGCTATCAATTTGACACTTGGCACATCTTCGGCATTTTTATCATCACTTTTAATGGCTATTCATAATATTCGTCGTTGGCACTTTTAAGTGTTTAAAAAACATTCAAATGATTCTGGCTCGCTAATCAATCACTCTAATGTATTGCTCTATATAAATATTTATGTACATATGTCGGGAGTAATGATTAATTTTACGCGCGTACATACATACATACATATGTATGTACATAGATATGTAAGTGTTAAAAAAATATTTTTGAAATACGAAGATGTTAATTTTTGAAGCACACTTCCAATTTTCAATGATTTTTTTAATTAACCTAGAACGCTAATGCAGACTACATACATATATATATATATATATATGCAAACACATACATATTTTATTTTAGCATTAATTAAATTTTTATACTCTCGATCGTGACGTATTAAACGACGTTAGTACTTAGCTCGACGACAACTGGCAGACATTTGTAATGAAGTAAATTTTTATTGTGCGTTTTAACGCAAGAAATTGTAATTATCAAAAGGCATTGCCTCTCAAATGATGTACAATCTGGACGCCCAATTTTTAGCCACTTTTTCCAGTTGGAGATTGTCTTGTTAACAGTTCTTTAATGAAACCATTCAGCTAAAAACTAAAACAAAAAAAAAAAAATAATAATAATTGATGCAACATTATGGCCGGCATCATCATCTACTTTTGTTAAAGAAGTTTAGGCTCCATTTACGCCTTTTCTACTATACACACTTTATTGATTAAGTAACCAAGAAACCTTGCGGCAAGAGACGTAATGCAACATACATATGTACATACATACATATGTTTTATGTCCGAGACGAGTTTAACCCGTAATGGTCACACCTCCAAAAAATAGCGTAATGGTCACACGGGGTCCAGTGGACCCCCAAGCCCACTAATAACAATTTAACACTTAAAAAACGTATGCATATGCTAAATATTCGATTTGGGCTGGGGTCCACTGCACTGACCATTACCATAAGGGTTAAAAAACGTGTGCTTTAGCTCTCGAAACCAAACGAGCCGCCTTATAATATTTCGTATAAACATACTCCATTTAATCTGGCTCTCTACTCACGATAACTATGCAATTTGTCATAATAATTGATCTATTTATGTATATTAGTCTCAGGTGGTTTAAGTATAGAACTGAACTTTAAGGCTGCTAACGCAAATATCTGTGATCATAAGCAGTAACCGCCTAAGTCGACTTAAGAAAGAATCGAGTTATGTATATATGCTATCGTATTCTGCAACTCCTATTCCATGTGTATGTGAAATCCCCATCACGCCAGCTGGGCTATTTAAAAGTTATAGACGAACATATTTTGGTTTCCCCATAAGGATAACATTACAGTCCAAATGCTTAAAATGTTCTTTCTCGAATTCAAAATTTTCGACTTAGCCTTAGGTTATTGCTTATGACCACAGATACATATATTAAGCTTTATTACAAAATGTTTATAACTCATACAGTATAAATAATTAAATTGTACTTGTCGCTGCGCTAATACACAAAAGCGCTCTAATGCTTCTCTGTGGCAAAAGTAGAACATTTATTACAAATTGAAATTTGATGGTATCTTAAATCAGAGCTCTTCACTATAACAGTGAGTTTTGAATTTTCTCCTCCTCCTAAGCTCCTAAGCTGCGCCAGAGCTTTTACCATTATTGCCTAAAGTAAGTGAAAGCCTAACCTTGTGGAGAGAGTAGAGGCAGCAAGCAATTTTCCATGAAAATAATTAAATCCGAAAAATTTTAACTACATATACATATAAGTGAAAGCTAAATACCCGTAAAATGTGCACAAAAGCTTACTATTTAAAACATCAGAGACCTAGAAAGTAATCTCGATTTTCTTAACTTATTTTTGTACCATAGTCCTCCATTAAACTGAAAACTAAAATCTCGTAAAAAAAATAATAAGGCAACTAAGCTGAAAATGGGTAATATTTTTGATACTTATTATATTTTTGTTTTCTGTATTCACTAACATCGACCGTGTTTTTAGACATAATGCCCCTTAATAAGTCCTATTTTTGTATAACGATTAGTTGTGAAAGTCAGATTAGTCAGGAAGCAGAATTGGCCACTTCATTAATACGCTTGCAGAGCTTCGTTAAGTTTTTGTTCTTATTAAATATTTGACGCTTACATTTGGCCGAGCTTCTACGTTTTGTAGCGTGTTTCTTGAAGTTATTGAATTAATAAACTTTATCACGTCATAAATACAAACGGAGCTTATTTCGTAAAAATCTTTTTGTTTTGGATGTTGCTCGGACCCGCAACCTAACCTGGATCTTACTTAGCTATAGTACGAAGCTCTAACCATTTTGTTGATTTCTTTCTTAAATTTTTTTATAAACGGAAAAATTTGAAAAGCCCTTTCGCTGGCCTTCACTGCTTTGTAGCTTGCACTGCGACTATGAGTAAAATGTGTTTTTGAAGAACGCGATATGTATTACGAGAGCCCTAACCGCCGAAGAGATGTAAGCGATTTTTTTTTTTTCAAAATTATATTTTTAATGCAGAAACGCATCTAGATGATCTAGGAATAATTCTGCATTAAAAGAAATTTGGAAAATATGTCGCTTATATCTTTTTGGCGCTTAGGGCTCGATATACCCGTATGTACATATGTATGTATGATAGGGCTTTATGAATAAAAACTAAGCAATTGCTTTTTCTTAAAATTTCAGGCCTTTTACTTAAATATTTTTTTTTTATGTACATATGTTATAACTTTGGACCACGTCAACCGATTTCGATAATTTTTTTTTCTATCGGATGTCGGTTGTTGTGTTTTTTACTTAAAAAATACTTGTTTAAATAAGTCGAGTAAAAGGTGTCTGAAATTTTAAGAAAAATCAATGGCTTCCGTTTTATTCATAAGGCCCGTTGTACTTTTTTTGTTCGAAAAATTACTTTTTTGTATTCCGAACTAAATATTTATGTATATTCGCAAAGATAACATCAGTAGATTTTTTCCTCAATTTCAGCACATACTGATTTTTTTATTACCTTTTTGGCATGACAACTTCCTTAAAAATATGTATTTGTTGAACATTGTATGTGTAACGGATGTATGCTTTGCTGCTAGATAATTTTCAATACATTTCTCTTCTTCTTCTACATGTAGCATCTCAATCGCTACGGAGATTCTATGGGTTCACTAGCACATCGAGCGCTCCTACAATATGTGGATACTAATGACCTATCTGGTTTGCGCGCTATCTTAGATAGTCGGCATTTATCCGTCGATGATCGTGATGAGGTGAGTTTGAGTGGGCCAAGGGTCGAGGTCAGTCCCCCTAACCCAATTTTTTTTTGTTTGTAGAATGGCACCACTGGACTTATGGTTGTTGCTGGACGTGGCTTAACTGTTTTTGTGCGCGAATTCTTGGCTCGCGGCGCAGATGTCCAAGCTGAGGACAATGACAACTGGACCGCACTGCTGTGCGCGGCCAAGAATGGCCACTTCGATATCGTACAGCTGCTTATCGATCATGGTGCTGACATTGAGCATCGTGATATGGTAAATATTCATTTCATTATCCAGACGTAGAGCTGTTGACATGTTTCGTTCTCTTCTCTTATCTCTTCCTCACTCCCCGCCAGGGCGGTTGGACGGCACTAATGTGGGCTGCATATCGTGGTCACACCGATCTGGTGCGCTTTCTGCTAGAGAAAGGCGCAGATGTGAATGTACATGGCAATTACCATCTGGGTCCCCTTCTGTGGGCAGCTGGTCGTGGGTTTAAGGAGATCGTTGAGCTCTTGGTGCAGCGCGGTGCTAAAGTGAATGTGGGCGACAAGTATGGCACGACTGCGCTTGTGTGGGCGTGCCGCAAAGGTAATGCTGAGATTGTCGATACGCTGCTGAAAGCCGGGGCTAATGTCGACACGGCGGGCATGTATTCGTGGACGCCGCTGCTGGTGGCCACTTCAGGCGGACATACTGACTGCGTGACGTCGCTGCTGGAGAAGCGACCAAATGTGAATGCATTGGACAAAGATGGCATGACGGCGTTGGCAATTGCGAGTCGCGAGGGCTTCCAGGTGGGTGCTTGGGAAATGCATGCGGGGATTTATAATGAATTTTTTAAACTTTCCATTGATTCTGTTGCACATAACACTGTCCATGCATTGAAATTGACGCTTTCTCTTTGACAGGAAATATGCGCTTCTCTAATCGCTGCTGGCGCCTATATCAACATTCAAGATCGCGCTGGCGACACGCCCCTCATACACGCCGTGAAGGGTGGCCATCGAGGTGTTGTTGAGGCATTACTAAAAAAGCACGCTGACGTCGATATTCAAGGCAAAGACCGCAAAACGGCTATCTACACGGCGGTGGAGAAGGGCCATGTGCACATCGTCAAAATACTCCTCTCCACCAATCCCGATCTCGAGGCGGCGACCAAAGACGGCGACACTGCTTTGCTGCGCGCTGTACGCAACCGCAATTTGGAAATCGTACAAATGCTGCTCGATCGCAAAGCGAAGGTGACGGCGAGCGACAAACGCGGCGACACCTGCCTACACATTGCCATGCGCGCTCGGTCCAAGGCGATCGTTGAGGCATTGCTGCGCAACCCGAAGAACAGTCAGCTGTTGTATAGAGCAAATAAGGCCGGCGAGACACCATACAACATCGATACCATACACCAGAAGACCATACTCGGACAGGTGTTTGGGGCGCGGCGCTTGAACACAAATGAAGACTCTGAAGGCATGCTCGGCTACGAGCTGTACTCATCTGCTTTGGCCGATGTACTGAGCGAACCAACACTGACCACGCCCATCACAGTGGGTCTGTACGCCAAGTGGGGCAGCGGTAAGAGTTTCCTGCTAAACAAGCTGCGCGATGAGATGAACAACTTCGCACGCCAGTGGGCGGAGCCGCCCTTCAAGACTAGCGGTCTAATGTTTCTTGTAAACCTGCACATAGCTCTGGTGCTTGCCACCATTGTCGGCTTGTCGTCCTGGTCTGCCATGTGGGGCGCAATAGCAGCGGTGCTATACCTAGTTTTAACCTACCTCCTGCTAGCCAGTATTAAGTACGCTAACAACCACATGGACGTCTATTGGGCCTATTCGGTGCAACATGGTATTAAGAAGCGCATAGGACGCCTACGTCTCATCCTACAGGTGGCGTTTTGTCACCCACCAGGTGCGCAAGCAGACGCCCAAGCGAAGCCGGTACGTTTTCACTTTGCGGAGGCGAGCAGCGCATCGCCGACAGGAGAGGGCGCCGTTACGCATATGTTGGCCGCACTTTTCGAGGCCATCGAGTCGCACTATGGCTGGCTATCGACACGCTTGTATCGGGCCTTTCGGCCCAAAGCGGTGAAGGCGACATCTGGTTGGCGGTGGCGGCGCATGTGCTGTATGCCAATTGTGATTATCTTCGAACTGGGTTTGTTAACGCTTATAACGGGCATATCGCTGGTAGTGGCATACTTTACGTACGCCTCAGATAAGGAACAAGAACGGATGCTCGTCTCGATTTACGTCATTTGCGCGGTGTTGGTGTCTATTGTCTGCACGAACTTGCACATACTGGCCAAGGCGTTTGGATCACTGTTCATTTCGCAGGGTCGGCATTTGAGGAAGTCGGTGCGGCATAATGAGGGTGCGCCACTGACAGCACTGGGAACGGAAGTGGCTCTGATGACCGACATGGTTAAGGTAAAATATCTTTGCAAATCTTACATCCTACTTAATATTTTGAATGTGAGAGCTTGTGAGTGAGTGTGTGAGTATGTTACTACCTCACATAGCCAATATTACTGTATATTTTTAGGCAGTTGACATCTAATTAAATTGTTGAATTTAACTTAATTAATAACTCAAAGGAAATATTAAAAAATATAGAAGAGAGCTTTGTTACGAAAACATTCGTAAAGAGCGTTGCCACTTGATTAAAACTTTATTTTCCGTTTAATTGAAAAGTTAAGTAAAATACGGATCCCCTATCAAAGGCTAGTTAGAATTTAATAAGAGAAGATGGCACAACGCCGAAACCGGTTTCTCTGCAAACCAAACTTGACAAGGGATTACGAAAATTCGTTCCAAAATAAATCATCTTATCACCCAGTGGGGAAAATTCAACAAACACCAACATACTTTAATAATATTTTCCTTCTCCCTCACGCAGTGCCTCGACGCGTTCACGAACCAACAAAGCCGGCTTGTAGGCGTGGTGGACGCCTTGGACTCCTGCGATACAGAGCGCATTCTCTCGGTGCTTAATGCCATTCAAACTCTGCTCTCCTCCCCAAATCGCCCCTTTGTTGTACTCATCGCCGTCGACCCGCATGTGATCGCTAAAGCAGCCGAGGCTAACAGTAGACGTCTCTTCACCGAAGGCGGCATCGGCGGACACGATTTTCTGCGTAACCTCATTCACTTGCCAGTGTATTTGCAAAACTCGGGCTTAAGGAAAGTGCAACGCGCCCAAATGACCGCAATGCTCTTCAAGCGTAATTACAGCGAATTTCCCAACGAAGATGGCCCGACACTGGGACATTCAGTGTCGGCTCGTCGCTTATCGAACGCATCAGAAATTATGTCTAGCCAAGAAAAATTACGTACGTCCCATAATCCGGGGCGCAGTGGTGGAAAGAAATTACGTTTGTCCGAATCGGTGGCCAGCTCGATCGGCTCGAACCTGCATCGGCTGGGACAGAACCCGCAGGGGGTGCTTGATCTGTCGCGCATGATGCTAACCGACGACTACTTCAGTGACGTGAACCCACGCAGCATGCGGCGACTCATGAATGTCATTTACATAACAGGTGAATTTCGAAAATCGCTGTAATGGTTTGTTTGATACTAATAGCTCATTGCGTTTTTACTGTTTTTTAGTGCGCCTGCTGAAAGCATTCCAGATAGACTTTAGTTGGTATCGCTTAAGTTCGTGGATAAACTTGACCGAACAGTGGCCGCTGCGTGCCAGCATGATTGTGTTGCAGCACGACAACTTCATGGACTCATATGACGACAATTTGCCACTACAAGCTGTCTATGAAAAGTGCGCCCAATTTGTTTATTTGTTTATTTGCTGTTTTTTTTTAATGTACATTTACTCTTGCCGATAGAGTGCGCCCAAAGATTGCTTGTCTACGCGAAGCTGCACCGCTGCTCGAACTCGATCGGGACGAGCGCAAGCTGGACGCCTTTTTGCAGTTGCATAAATCGGATTTGCTCGTGGCGGATTTGAGAATATTCCTGCCATTTACAATTAATCTAGACCCATACTTGAGAAAAGTATTAAAAGGTGCGCGCAATATATATTCTTAAACAAATCCATATATTGTATTGAACTTGTCTTCTTTTGATTCGCAGAGGATCAGCAATCGATCGAGGACGAAGGCACACTTATGCTACAAAACAAGCCGAGCGTTAACCCAGCCGTACGCATACCTCCACCAACGCCTACGTATGTGCCTTCACCAGCTGCTTATCCACCGTATCAGTTGTTCCACAACGATTACGAGTTGAGACAGCGAAACGCCAGCACGATCTCCGAAGCGGCTTTGACACCGTTGATCGGTTCGCCGAGTGAATCTTTTGCAGTGAGTGTTGCCACACATAATTAAATATGTGTTGAAAAACAATTGATTAACTATTACTCTTAAAAAAAAAAAAAAAAAATCCAGGATGACGTTCTACAAACAAAACTTTCCGACCTAACTGTCGAAGGCGTCATAAGTTTAATAGAACGAGTCGACGATCTGCGTCCCGCTTTACCCAAATTATCGCCGATCCTCAAAGAGAACGCAATCAGTGGGCGAGTACTGAAATACTGCGATATAAGCGACCTAAAAGCAGTAAGCAGAAAATTCAGAACATCCTTAATTTTTATTATTATTATTTTTTTTGTTAATTTCTCTTACAACTATTTTATTAGGTTTTAGGACTCAATTTCGGTCACTGGGAATTGTTCCGACTGCTTATAAATACGCTGCGCGACTGTGAGAAAATGCAACGCAAATTCAAGCCAACACCTGCGATAGCCGATGTGCCAGCTACTAGCACGGCGGCGCCTAAAGACAACACAGATTCACATACGTTGGCACCTAATCAACCGCATTCGCGTAAAAATTCCACCACCAGCCATATGGAAAAGCAGGTTTGTACCAAACTTCATTTTGCGTACAAGCCGGTTGCTTATTAGCTTCGGAAATACGCAATTGCATTGCAGCGTGTGCTTGAATAGAGATCAAAAGTAGTGGCGGCATTTCTATGTGCTCAAGTTCAAATGCAACACTGCAAATTGATTGATTGTTTTTTTTTGGAAAAATATGACAGTATTAAATAAAAAATAATAAAATTGGAGCACATAGAATGGTTGCAACAATAACACCTCAGTGTCCAAAACACATTTCATAATTGCACAGATGTACAAAGCAATTCGTTTTCATGCATATTGTATATTTTTTATTTAATTTAAAAACCATTCCAACAATGCAGCCAAAAGTACACGATTATGAGTATCTGCAGGTAAAAATCACTAAAATTGAATTTCATTCATAATTTACTATTTTTCTAAATGCATCTTAATATTTGGATACGATTATCTTTTCAACTATAGTAAGCTATATGTATATTAAAATACGATTTTCTAAGTGTTTTTAAAATTGTTAAAACCTGCACGAACTGTTTTCTTTTATAAATGTGATGACCTGTTCATAATTAACTGATTGAAAATCTCGGTCATAAACTTTTTACTTTAGCGTGTGTCTATACAATATTTCGTTTTGTATTTTAGATGCTCCTACATTTTTTTAACGCAAAATGTGCAAATCCATTGCTGATGGTTTTTTTTTTGTTTTTTTTTTTTTATATTTGTTCCTTGTTTCCAAACAAATACAAAGTCGGTTTAATTTACGGATTATCATTTATCAACTACTATAACTATTTGAATATTCAATTTTACGAACTCAAATTCTTGAATATCCTAAAGTTTTATGCCGCCTCCGAACAGCAAATGCCTGCCGAGGGGCGACCGCTGTTAGAAAAAACGTTTTCTAATTTAGATGTTGCTCGGATCAGGGCTCGAACCCAGGTCCTATGGAGTGGTAGTCGGTACCTCTATCAACTCAGCAACAGCGGCCTTATTACACTGATAAACAGTGGTTTCGTTACACAAAACTAAGTTATTTTTTTTTTTTTTTTAGATAATATTACCTAACCACATATAAACCCCTTACTTAGTTTTATTCAATTACCCTCAGTTTTTCTTAAAACTCGACTGAAGTGATTACGCGTATTTTGCTTACCAAAGTGTGATTCTAATAAATTTATGTTAAATTATTATTGACATTAAAACGGAATCGTTTGTAATTTTCTTGGAAACCACAAAGCCGAAAACTTTGAAGAGTTGGTCAGCAACCTTTTAACACCCTTACCTAACCTTAGAATCTACCGCCCATACTAACGTTTGGCCATTATTTCCCTGTGGCCCGAAAAAAAACTTAAAATTGTGCCTCAGTATTATTTTAGGGTTGCTATTTAGGGCCGTTTTCTTTATCTCTGGTTAACACTAATCTCCAGTTTAACATCATTACCGACGTTTTCGACACAATGTTATATGCATGGAGGTCACTAACATCGGTAACGATGTTTAACTGGGCATTAGTGTTAACCAGAGATGGTGAAAACGGCCCTTAGTGGTCGTAATTGAAGTGCTAGCAGACTACCGATTTTTATTTTTAATTTAAATTGATTTGGAGTATTAAATGTATACTAAATTTTCGTGTATTTTTCACTGTGGTTTCACGTTCATTAGTTGTTGAAACGTTATTTTTTTTTCATGTACATATATATGTATGTATAAATATGTCTTCATATGCATAAAGTGGCAAAAAAGAACGGCAAACCATACATGATTTTTAAATGGCATTTATGTTATATATTAAGTATGTATGTATGTATGTATGTACATATTGCTCGTTTGCTCCAATAGCGTATAATTCAAAAAATCGAAAAATTCGAGAAAAAGGGCTTTACAAATAAACATACATAAGTAATAACTAAAAAATATAAGAAGTATAATGTTAAAATTAAATCCAGATGATACAGCTGCCATTTAACTTTACTTAAGAGAACTTTTTTTTCTTGCTATGACTGCCAAACATAGTGAAAATGGGTAAAATTACAAGGAAACCAATTTCCTTCTTAAGAGACACAATTAACAGAAATCGATTANGCTTTTTTTTTCTTGCTATGACTGCTAAACAAAGTGAAAATGGGTAAAATTGCAAGGAAACCAATTTCCTTCTTAAGAGACACAATTAACAGAAATCGATTAGACGACCTAAAAAAAAATTTATTATGACGTTCTACCAGCAAACGAGCGTTATGCCAAAAATTACATATCGTCCAGTTTCTGAGTTAACGGAACGATATGTACATATAAGGGATGGAAAAATAAATTTAAAAATATTAAAAATATTGGGTATTTGTGCAGAACGTGCTTTCAAAAAACAAAAAAAGGGCTGTGAGAAAAGGGCAATTGTACCTACTTTTCCATCACTGCTACATACATACATACTATATATTATCGCGTCTGTGAAAAGGGTGTTATTGGCCAACAATTTTTTTTTTCACTCGGGGCTAATCGCCATGCATTTTTAAGACCTTGATATACATAAGAAACCGTGATGCACCAAATGTTAGTATTTTGGTCGATAACACCCTTTTCTCAGAAGCGGTCTCATACATATGTACATTCATATATACATATGCATATGCAGGTGGATAAAATTTAATTTTTTCGCAGTTGGTTATGTTTGTATTTGTATGAGTATGTACATACATATGTAGAATAAAAAGTTGATATTCGTTTGTGTTGTTAATACATTCTTCATTCATCCACCTTCTCCCTGCGATGTCCTTTATTTTCACTTATTTTTTTTTTTTTTATTTAATTTACAGGTCACGCTCGAAGAACAAATGATTTGTGGCGCACTGCAAACCCTTAACGAGGAGGCTTTCGAGGACGTAGCTAGTAGTGAGCGACCCAGTCCTTCGGGTTTACCTACAGGTGAGATGTTAGCTGCAGCTGCACAACTGCAATTAGCGCCCATACGTGAGTCATCGGAATTCGGTTCCCCATCCGATGATCTCAAATATAATCACTTGCTAAATTATGCCAACAATAACAACTGCGGCAATTTTTCCACACAACACCACAATCACGGTGGCAGCACGCATTCGCTGCAAAGTATTGGTATTGGTGGTGGTGGTGGTGGTGGAGGTATACATATGGGCAATGGAGGCAGTGGCATATTTTTTAGTGGAGTTCATAGCACTGGTACTAATGGTGGTGGTGGTGGTGGTGGTGCTAGTGATATTTATAAATTGCGGCATAGTATTGTTGGTGATGCCAGTACTCAAGCAGCCGTGCAAATGCTTACAACGGGTGGCCACAGCCACAATCGCAATCAGCGCCATCACTCGGTGGGCGACGACTTACTCTATGACACTCTAACGCCACAAATGCGATCGCCCATGCAACAGCAGCAACAGCAACAACAGCAACAACAACAACAACAACGTAATACTGTGCCAACAGTTGTTGTGATCCCAAATGCAAATGGTGATCAGGATGTATCCGATACGCCTCTATAGAAAACAATGGATATAGAGTGGAATCAGAGCAGTAAAAATCACGAAATATGCTACTGTCATATTTGACTTAACTATATATACATCTATATTTGTTACATACATACATACATATATGTATATTGAATGTATGCATATAGACCAGTCAGCAGCACCACCAGCACAGCACATACATTTTCGGCACACAAATCCTCCCACGCATACATACATATACACTCATAAATTTGGTTTGCACCCTTAAAGGAACACGCTGTTTTGTTAGTACAGTTAATGTCTTACATATCTTTAAAACGCAAATATTTAAAGTCGTATGTGGTGCTTATTTTTAATCTAAAGCGCTCAGTGTATTCAGTTACTAAATCGAATTTACATATATAGAATTATGTATGTGTGTTGTGAGACTTTATTGTTGACAGTCTGAAGGGAAACTTGTAAGACTGTAGCTGATAAATTCATGGACATTGTTATTTTAGTCAGCTGTAGAAACCTAATAGAAGATGTTACTCTAGACGAGTATCTGTTGATCGATGCGATGAAGCATGCACACGTACATAGACCAGACAAAACTGTTCGACCATTCAATGGATTAAATATTATTTAGGTGACATTTCTATATATTTGTATTTTTTTGGTAATAATTCACCAACGTATAAAGAAAGACGTAGGCCTAAGTTAGTAATTTTGCATGAGCTGCGTCTTTTCGGCAACGACAGAAGCAGATGGCGACGTTAAAGAGTAATCAGATAATCGACTTCAAAATTTAGCGCTATCAATAGGCAGGTACTGCGACTCTTCTGACACAAAGAAAGGTAATATAGAATTCAATATAATTTTCCCCACCATAAATCAGAATGGTAGAGGGTGATAGGTAATAAGATCAACGGAAATAAGGCCAATTGACTTTATTTCCCACCCTGATGCGCCAGGTTGCCAGAATTGCCCTGTTAAAGTATTGTGTGGGGTTTTTTTTATGTTCTTCGAAGTAATTTCTTTTTATAAAGATCCAAGTTCAATCAATGATATATTATCAACTTTTTCTCGATAGCCTTTGCGAAAATTCCTGCGAGTTTCATAATTCTCGGTTTGTAGAATAGCTTGTTCTCTTGTTGGCACAACAGCTTGGAATGCAGTTGTAGCTGTGCTCGATGCTCAAAAACGTTATATTTCTGCATGTCATTGTGGAATTAAAACTTCTTTCGAAACTGATATTGTAAACAGATATGTATGTAGATACTTCGAAAAAGAACTATCAGCTCCAAGCTTACATTGAAGCATAAAGGGTAAGATTTTAAATGGTCTTTTATTTCCACACAAAATTTGTTGCAAAGGCCCGAAATAAATTTTCTTCTTACAAAATAAACGAAGGCCTGTTTGGAAATATTCATATTTTTTAAAACATCGTTTTAATCTTTGTTCAGGGAGGAGAGACTGAAACTGACTGAAAAATTGTTTTGAAAAATGTCTCCCGCATTTGTACTGATAATCAACTTAATGAAGAATATTAAAATCACATTCCATTAGACCCCTTTTAGACACGTCACAAGTCTTGTTTTCAAGTCCGCTCGGTTCGTAGGCGAGGGAGATGAGAAGAGAGCGGAAGAGTATGTACATTCGTCTCACCTCCTGCGCCTACGAACGAGCGGACTTTAAATCAAGAAATGATGTGTCTGAACGGGGTCTTAGGGCGGACTGACAACTACATATGCACATACAGCTATGTAAATAAATACATATGTTTGACACATTTTTTTTTTTATCAATTTATCGACTGCATGTTAACGAGAGTCCGAGCTTGCCAATGAGCAAATACAATTTTTGGAAAAACAATCAAATGTTTTATTAAGCTTTAACTGCGTTGAATGTGCTGCATAGTCAATTTGAAGGTGCATTTTTTCTTTTTAAACACGCTTACAATTTATTATTTTTGTTCTTCTTGCCCCTTTTGCAATATTTCGATTGGCGCTCAAACTATTTCAGTATTTTATTCTTATTTTCTATGGATTTATGGCTACACGATCACTCGAAACACAATAGGCTGATACGCTGATAAAGATTTAGATAAGAGACTAAATTATTATGTTACACACAACTATTTGTTACTAATATTACATACATATGTATGTGCATAGAACTGTATAAGTACTTCCATTTCGAAACAAAAAAAAAAAAACATCCACATGCCGTATTTGTAGTTCAGCGATTGTTGAGTCTGGAATTAGTAAACAAGATTAATATCGCAAAAGTGCATAATGCATGTTTAATTATTTAAGAAAAAAAAATAATAGAAATAAAACTGATGCCTAGCAAACATACAAATGCAATAATAAATAATGCTAAAAATGTAGAAATACTAACTATTGGTAGAGTCATACATACGAAAAAGGCTATAACTAACTTTAGCGCAATGGAAAAAACAACAAAAAAAAAATATATAATTTTGATTACGATAACAAATACTACAATGTATGTAAAGCATTTTCTTGCTTTGTTGGTGAACGAGTATTAATATAGTAAACAAAGAACCGAAAAATTTAACACAAATTAAATAAAAAAAAGTGTGATAGATAATATACTAGAAATTTTAAAAGGATTACCAAAAAAAAAAACACAAATTTTTAGAACGATAAAAGTAATAATGTGCTATAGAATTAGAAACATAAAATAAAAATGGTATAAATCATGCAGTGTTAGTTTCATTATTTGGCAATTTACTGAAAAAATACCCCGCTGATCCGATTACTGCAATTCATTAGCATAAATATTAGTTTATTTACCTGCTTTGCTCGAATTTGGTTAAGTGAAGTCAAGTCATTTGTCGTCATTTGTTTTTGGTGTTGGTATTGGTGTTGGGCATTTGGCTGAGTTTCGTCGCATCCGCTGCATTCGCTTTAGGCGCTGCTTATTTTTGGAGCAGATAGATATGTCACAAATTCTCTTTATTATACTCTATGTCGTCGCTAGACACGAATAAAGGCGCACCATTGTTTTGACGGCGAAAAAGGACGCATTGACTTTAAAAAAAGGCGTTAGCCCAGTTGACGGCTGACTGAAGCTCGCGGCCTTTATTCGTGTCTAGTGACGATGTATCTATGTAGATATTGTTATTGTCATAGCGGCATTTGCACCAATTTATGTCCATACTTTTTGCTATTACTTCTCCCAGGACAGTTGCATGCATGTTCTCTTTGTTACAGCTTTGCATTTTATCTATATGTATGTACGTATGTATGTATGTATGTATGTACATACCCTATAAACATTTTGGTGAACGTTCGAAAATGACCGTCGATATCCAATATGCATATCGAATTAAAAGCGAACCAACCATAACCAACCTTAGTTTTCCAACGTTCATAGTATATTGGAAATACACTCGAGATGGGTTCGAAAAAAAAACAAATGAAAACCATAACAACAAGAGGGAAAGTGAAATCCAGCTCATTCTCGATGGGAAATATTAGAAAATCACTCTCTCTCTCATTAATTATTCAATTCGATAATGGGCTGGATTTTGAATTCTTATCGAAAATACATTGGACAACGATGGTTTGCTTTCCAATCATATTCGAATTGTTAACCAAGCCCAACGTTTATTGGGTATGTATGTATGTATGTATGGGTGTGGGATTTTTGTGTTTTGTATTGAATCTTCTCTTAAGAGATAATTTTACGTTTTGGGTATTTTATTGTAGTTTTAATGTAATCCATCTGTAAATAAAAATGTGGGTGATGTAACTGAAGTGTAAGTTGAAGTAGCTAAGCGGTACCGTACCGTTGATTTTCGATAATTAATTTTTTTGTTCACGGTGTTACGCTTTTTTCCAAAACATGCAAAAATGCCGCGTTCCAGTTTATATTTTGGCCACTGTATGTATGGTAGGGTATTTTTACATTCGATTTCCTAAGCCTTAACCCCTACCTCGATGCTACTATAGTCGAAGATATCACATATAAATATTGGCCCCGATTGAAGTCGGTTAAGGCGTGTCGTACAGGTGTCAAAGTTCAGATTACCCTATGAAGCGGTTTTAAGCGACTATAATCGGGACCAAAATTTATATGTGATATCATTGATTTTAGTAGTATCGATTTTGGGTACTAAATGAAAAAAAAAATTATTTAATTTTTTTTAGTCCATAGAGGCATTTCCCTTGACCAGCGGAAAGCAGCTTTAATTGTTATCTAAATTATCGATAAACCGAATTTAACTCGAACAAACGCAGCCATTTTATAAGGCGAATTCACTTGCGTTTTGGTAAACAAAATTTAAAAGAACCAAGACGAAATCGGACGTAGTAGTTAAAGCGAATGGAAACGTTGGAAAATTACGAACCATTTAGAATCAAAAATTATACAGAGGTAGCACAATGCGGAGGCACCGACAACCAAAAATAAAATCGAAAGTTGTTTTGGGAAATTTCGTCCATGTTTAGTGTTGAGTTAAATGTACACACTGTGTTTGTAAATAACACTTGTTGTTGGTTCTTAGAATTAAGATTACTTTTAAAATGAATGGCTCTTAAACTTATTATGTTAAAATCGCCGTAGAATTTGGCATTTCTCAAGTTTTTCGAATGGTCTCCGTTAGGCATCAACTCTGATTATGCTTCTGAAACCTTTCATATCTAAAACTTTATTTTCAAAAACATTCTATGTGTTAGAAATGATTTGCAAATTTTAGTTTTAAGAATGCCTACTTGGACACATACTTAATTTATCTACTGTACGTATGCATGCCTACCTTTAATTATATTCATAGATTCTGAACTGCAGATGCCTAATAACGCCACAATGCCGTCAGCGTCGCCAATCGCACAACGACGCGACTCCATACTGAAACACCAGAACAGCGTGAAAACTGATAAGCGAGTCAGCATCAAACAGGGCAGCCAGAAGAGCAGCGGCAATAAGTTGCAAATGACTTCAAATCTAGAGTACATCTCAGAGAAAGCCTCGTCGTTGTCATCGTCTGCCTCAACGTTGCCATCAAGCGGTTCGACGACGCTGGAGCGTCGGCCTAGTAAAACGACAGCAGGTTTGTAATGAGAACATTTTGTAAAAAAAAAAAAAGTTTTCATACGAATATTTAACTTTATATTTTATACTTTCGGTGTCAGGTCCACGTCCTGCCTCGCTGGTCATCACAAAGAACGACAATAAGGGATCACAATTCAAATTAGTGCGCTCTTCCTCGGTGGACTACGAGGATATCGAGAGCCAAGTGCCGACGCGCACGGTAAACAAGATTATACTCGCTGAGCACTTGCAGGAGGATGAATCCGCACCGTTAGTATTCACTGTACACAAATGAGAGCAACCTTTGGGGCCTGTTCACCTGCCGACTGACGGCGGTCGTGTGGGATGTCTACTTGAAATTGGTAAATAGGAGTTAGGCTGTGTATGGGTAAAGAAGTCTTCGCAGCAAAGCAGGCAAAAACGTCGCAAAACGAAGGTTCACAATCCCATAGCCAACTTTAGAAGAGCGCGCGAAGCGCAAATAATGTTCAGCGGAATTGTCAAAATACTTTTTATACCTTTTATTTTTTAGATAGCAAATTCGCCTACATATGTTTTCTGTAAATGAATAGTGCTAGCGCTGGTGCTTTACATATATATACATATATACAAGGATATATTTTTTCAAATTTTCAATTACACTTACAAACATATACATATAAAACTATTTAGCCAAATATTTTTTAGAGTAATAACTATTGTATTGTGAGTTGACTTATATTTTTGTGTATATATATAATATTGTAGTGTTTAACTGAAAATGATTCGCAACGATGCCTAAGAATCGAGTGAGCCTAAATGTTTATATATGTATCTATGTATTTAGACGCCTAATTCAAAAAGTAAAAATAACAATAACAATTATACCGTTAATATAGTTTATTGTTGACGTTTTTTTTTCACTAAAAGTTAAATAAAATGTTTGGTGAAAAATATTCGAGTGCTTTGGGTGCCAACCCACATCTTACCATTTAAGTATTTAATTATAAAAAATATAGTTCAATAAAAGCAAATGTTACAAAAAATATACATTTTAGCATACACAAAAAAAAAACTACATACATACATGCATATATACATACATATATGTATGGGGACGTATTGCCAACGTTTTCCAAAATGTATTAAGTTATAGATTTTTTATAGATTATACAGTTTATTAATTAATCGTTAGTGGAACGAGCAAGAGAGACTACAGTCGTTTTTTGCAACAAATTGCACTAAAACTGTTTCTGCTTTTGATAGAAAGTAAATATTGAATTAATATAAACTATACTTTTGAAGAACGTTTGCGATATGTATGTAGACTCAAAAACTATAGTATATCTATTGATACGATACATAAGACATATACGCAAGCTTCAAGAAGCTATTATAAACACAACTTGTAGCAGAAAGGAATAAAGAGTGGCATTAAGATTTAAGTCACAATTGGAAAATGTAGCCGTTCTTTTAATTATTGACACAAATATTTCGCTGAATTCTTTTTTGTGCATTAGCATAGATTCCGCTGTTCCTATAGCTACTATATACTCCAGTCACTGTTCAATACAGCTTGGGTCGGGCACTGGGACACTGATGACTTGTGTTTCATAGCGAATGGTTATTTCTCAGACCTTTCTAGCTTCTCTACTATGCGTAATCTAACCTACGAAGTCAGCTTCGACATTCCAGGTGGTAAGGACGAAGGAGATTAAGCTGAACTTAAGCATTCGGTCGGTGGCACTACAAGCGTTGTAAATTATGCCAAGCCTGTATGGTCGCCAGCGGCTGGTAGAAACTTCAAAGCTGCTAGACAGGACACAGGACACCATCTGATGTCATCTAAAGATCAATATCAAGTAGCTTACCACTATGCTGAGCAAGCTGTTTCTGTTGCACCCAAAGCATACATGAAAAGAACTAGCAAGTATAATGCTTATTTACAAGCGAAGATTTTCATTTCAAAGGTGGCGGCAAGTCGTGACTCGACACGAATAACTAATATAGAACTCTTCGGTAAAGGCCTGGACTTACAGTTGGGTAGGTGGTGTCATGGCATGTCCTAATTGATGGTAGTTGTGACCAAATTCCTTCTCTGTTTTCATTCGTTTCTCCAAATTTATTTCTTAATTTTAAATTCGTTTTATTTCAGCGGCCAAATATATTCAGCCTAATTGAGAGTGTCTAGTCGAGTGCAAGTCGTTTTTCGAGAGTCGAGTCGTATCGAGTAGAAAGTTTTCGACGAATAAAGTATACAAATTAACTAATATAACTATTAATACAACTACGTAAAATATGAATATTACTGAAATATTTTACAGGTCATCAGAAAAAAGAGGATAAAGTGTAAAAGTTGATGAAAATGCGAACACATTTCGAGGCAGCAAATAAATGTGATAAGCCCGATATGGAGTAACTTTTATGACGATATGCAAGTGTTCATAAGTTACTTAACTTCTTCAGGTTTTCTGCTTTTTACCAAGTTTAATAAGGAACAACTCGAATGGGTCTGGGGCTAAACGACGCAACGCAGAATCAATCACTCTTGCCAAAAACTGCTACTTTGGACTGAGTAGGCAGTTTAGAAATAAAGTCCTCTCTCTACGTGCGAAAACCACATTCTATAAGTCGCTCATCTTGTCCGTGCTAGTATACGGCCCAGAAGCTGGGACAATTGGCAACATGCGATGACGCGCCTCTTGGAGTATTCGAGTGAAAGATTCGCGGAAGATTTACGGGCCTTATGATGAGTTGTATGAGCTGTACAACGACTTAGTGCAGCGAATTTAAATACAGCGACTCCGAGAGTATTGAACTCGGAAACAGCTGGAAGAAGCAGGAAGCAGATTTTTGTTTTGGAAAAAAAAAATCATTAGTAGTTGAAAATCGATAATGAAACATTTTTTCTAATATGTGGTGAGTTTACCTTTTTTCTGTTTAGTTTATTTGGTTAAAATCTAATTTTGTATCTTCAAGCAAATGCTAAAAAAGTGCAAGTTCCTGAACAGGTACAC